GCACCGAGGGAAACCGAGAGATACCGACCGAACCCGAGTGCCATCGGCTCCGCCACCGAACGGAGCCGGTACCGAGGGGCACCGAGAGACACCGAGCGGTGCCGACACCGAGCACTACTAGCACCAAGTGGACCCGAGTGACCCCGCGCGGAAGCGAGTGCGGTCGGACCGAGCAGCACCGGCCCCGAGCGCCGCGCCCCGTGGAGCCTCCGGTGGGACGGGATGGGCAAGAGCTGCAAGGTGGTGGTGTGCGGACAGGCGTCGGTCGGGAAAACCTCGATCCTGGAGCAGCTGCTGTACGGGAACCATGTGGTCGGTGAGTGTGGGGCAGGGCTGGACCTGGGGACCACCCTGAACACGACTGTACCTGGTCACTCCTTGGGCAGAGCTGTCCCGTGGGACCCCCATGGACAGGGCAGTAACTGGAGACCACCCTGAACACGACTGTACCTGGTCACCCCTTGGACAGAGCTGTCCCATGGGACCCCCATGGACAGGGCAGTACCTGGAGACCACCCTGAACACGACTGTACCTGGTCACCCCTTGGACAGAGCTGTCCCATGGGACCCCCATGGACAGGGCAGTACCTGGAGACCACCCTGAACACGACTGTACCTGGTCACCCCTTGGACAGAGCTGTCCCATGGGACCCCCATGGACAGGGCAGGACCTGGAGACCACCCTGAACACGACTGTACCTGGTCACCCCTTGGGCAGAGCTGTCTCTAATCACCCACTGGGCAGGGCTGTCCATGGTCAGTCACCCTTTGGACAGAGCTGTCCCTGGTCACCCCTTGGACAGACCTGTCCCTTGGGACCCCTTGGGCAGGGCTGTACCTGGTCACCCACTGGGCAGGGCTGTACCTGGTCACCCCTTGGACAGACCTGTCCCTTGGCACCCCTTGGGCAGGGCTGTACCTGGTCACCCCTAACCACCTGGCGCTGGGGGAGGAGGGCACAGCTCCCAGGGCTGTGCTGGGGCCAGAGCCCTGGGCAGGGTCCCCATGTGCCCCCTGCCCTCCCCTGTGTCAGGCTCGGAGATGATCGAGACGCAGGAGGACATCTACGTGGGCTCCATCGAGACGGACCGCGGCGTGCGGGAGCAGGTGCGGTTCTATGACACGCGGGGGCTGCGTGATGGGCTGGAGCTGCCCAAGCACTGCTTCTCCTGCACCGATGGCTACGTGCTGGTCTACAGCACCGACAGCAAGGAGTCCTTCAAGCGTGTAGAGCTGCTCAAGAAGGAGATCGATAAGTCCAAGGACAAGAAGGAGGTGAGTCGCCAGCGGAAAGGGCTGCCCAGTGGGATCTGCTCCCCTTGGGCAGGTTCTCACCTTTGCTCCTGCTTGCCATGAGGTGCTGGTGGGTCCCTGGTCTGTGAGGCTCCCAGGTGTAACAGGTGTGTCCTGGGATGCTCTCTGAGCATACAGGTACTCAACAGCCCCTTCCACTTTGGGCTGGTGTGAGACCAGAAGGGAGTGCTGGGGTTGGGGATTTCAAAAGGCCTTGGCATGGAGTGGGGATCAGCAGCACTGAGGGTCTCCATGGCAGAGCCTCGGTGCTGCCATCAGGGTGCTGCCATCAGAGCCCTGCAGTTGGTGCCTTCAGGGACCCTTCTTGCCCTTTTGGAACAGGTCACCATTGTGGTTTTGGGCAACAAGTGTGACCTGCAGGAGCAGCGCCGGGTGGACCACGAGGCAGCCCAGCACTGGGCCAAGGGCGAGAAGGTGAAGCTGTGGGAGGTGTCGGTGGCCGATCGGCGCACGCTGATCGAGCCTTTCATCTACCTGGCCAGCAAGATGACGCAGCCACAGAGCAAGTCTGCCTTCCCCCTGAGCCGCAAGAACAAGGGCAGTGGGTCCATGGATGGCTGAGCCTTCTGCCCCTGCCACCTCCTCATCCTCACCTCCCTGCTCCCCTCATACACACCTCCGGCTGAGCCTGTGTCAGAGCCTGCAGGGAGCAGGTGGCAGGAGGAACAGTTGCCCCAGGGGCTGGGGATGGTCCTTGAGGATGAGAGCAGTGGGACAGGGACCACTTCTCCCTGCCCAGCCCCTGCAGCTGTGGGAGGTGCTGCAGGAAGGTCAGGGGTCACCAGTAACCCCTCTGCCCCACGTGCAGGCTGGGAGAGAGGAGCAGAGGCACAGCACGGGCTGCCAGCACGTGGGGATCAGCTCCATGGCTGGGCCAGAGGGAACAATTCCCTCTCTCTTTTCTATATCCTGATACCATGTGGGAAGAGCCTGTTTGCTGGCTCTGCCTCCAGCCCAGCAGCTCTCCCTGCCCTGCCCCAGCTGGCTCTGCACTGCTCCCTGGCAGGTTGCCCTTACCTGGCAGTGCTCACTGCTCCTTTATGCACGGGACTATCCAGGCATCCTGCCCCCGTGAATGCCTAGGGCAGGACAAGGTGCTTTTCCCAGATCCACCACTCCAGCTCTCCTCTGCCTGAGTGCACACTCAGCCATGACCTTGGAGGAGCTGGGACTGTGATTCACCTGCACACCTGGATCCTTAGAGGAGCTGGGACTGTGCTTACCTTGCACACCTGGATCCTAGGAGGAGCTGGGACTGCTTCACCTGCACACCCGGATCCTTAGAGGAGCTGGGACTGTGCTTCACCTGCACACCTGGATCCTTGAAGGAGTTGTGACTGTGATTCACCTGCACACCTGGATCCTTGAAGGAGTTGTGACTGTGATTCACCTGCACACCTGGATCCTTGAAGGAGTTGTGACTGTGATTCACCTGCACACCTGGATCCTTGAAGGAGTTGTGACTGTGATTCACCTGCACACCTGGATCCTTGAAGGAGTTGTGACTGTGATTCACCTGCACACCTGGATCCTTAGAGGAGCTGGGACTGTGCTTACCTTGCACACCTGGATCCTTGGAGGAGCTGGGACTGTGCTTCACCTCCACACCTGGATGCTCCAGGTTGTGTCAGCTCTCACTGCCCACCTCTCACTGCCCCCTCTCAGAACCACCACAAGACAAGGCACAGGTGTCCCAGTCCTCCCCGGCAACACCTGTTGGATGTAGGAAAAGAACTAACAAAAGGCCCCACTGTGTTTATACTTGTTCCTTTTATTTACGGAGTAACACAATAAAGCCATGAGATTCGATTATCAAAATATTTTCCTTTTTTTTTCCCAACAGTTATAGTACATCAAAAAAATATACAATGAACATTACAGGAGGGTACTGGCCAAGTCCCTAGAGTCTGGATATTCCATTTTGGGATTTTTTTTGTGTTTTTGAATCAAACTTCACATCACTCCAAGGTTATTTACAGAGGGGCACACATTACCGAGCGCTATGGACTATCCCTACTCCTAGTACAGCATGTGCTACGTCAAAGGCAGTAAATGCTTTGGAGGCAGAGGAGGGGGTTTGGGGGGATGCCGTAACGGGGGTTCTTACGCAGCTCATTGCAGTATTATTGTCACTAGAAGGAATGGCTTTCACGGGGTTAAAGTGCCAAGTACAGGAGTGTGTCAGGACTCCACTGAGGGACGGAGCAGCTGTGGCTCCAGCACAGGCTTTTGGGGTAAAACGGAGGGGAACAGGCCCATGGGAGCCATGTGGCTCTGCAGGACAGAGCCCAGCTGCTCCCGGTTCCTAACGCGCCTGGGGCGCCAGGCACGGCGAGGAGGGGACACGTTGCCCTGCTGCCGCAGCCAGGGCTGGGGGGACCCCGAGGGCCTGGAGAGGGGCACAGTGAGGTGGGCAAGGGAGGCTGGAGCCGCGCTGGCCACGGGCTGCTTGGCACTGCGGCGCTGGGGGCTGTGTCCCTCCTGCCACTCGGGGCCCTGCCAGTGCAGGCTCCTGTGTCCTTGCCCGTGCCCTGGGCTGCAGGAACATTGCCCTGTCCCTGTCAAAGCCAGTGCTGCTCGGAGCCTTCCTCCCCTCAGCTGTGCTCTGAGCCAAGTCCCCCACCATCGCTGCAAGACCTTCCTGTTGTCTCTATCTCCTGGTGCCCTCTCTCCACTCTCCTCCTTCCCTGGGACAGAGAGACACCCTGAGCAGGTGAATCCATACCCAGGAGCTCCCTCGCTCTCCCGTCTCTGGCAGGAGCGCAGCGGTGGCTCCGCGGCTCAATGCTGCCCTGCAGACACGGGTGTGTGGCTCCCTGCACCCCTCTCCCTCCGTGCAGGATTCCTGCCCTCACCAAGGCTCCAGCCCTGGGAAGCAGAAGCGTTTCAGCCACCTGAATCATCCGTAGGCCAGTTCTCATTCACCTCCCTGTGTCAGGACCCGTCCTGAGTGTCGGCAGAGCTGGGCAAAATCCTCCTGAAATCCAGGCGCTGCTGATGGCCGAGACATCGGATATGTGTGCTTGTGCGTGTGGATTCCCAGGGGCACACACCAACCTGCCTCTTCCCGCGGGCTGGGAGGGAACGTGGGCCCTGGCAGAGGTCTGAGCCAGCACTCTGGGCCAGGGATGGGACAGAGCTCAGCGTTACTTCGGTTCTTCTGCTCCCACCATCACTCCTGGCTGTAC